AATGTCATAGGCAAATAAGCTGGCAAAATGAGGTTATATGACGTCACAAAACTACAAATTATTTCACTAAATTTACCTGACTGTAGCTTGCAGAAACACTTCTTTTCACGCGGAGCATTTCTCTGAAGGTGTCTTCATTTCCATGCTGCACCTCAAACTCATGCCATTTATTCCAGAAATCAGGGTCGGATCTAGGATCTGCAAATTGCGATGAATGTTTATATAATGCACGAGCACGATCAATTTCTCCAAGGCTCTTCTCAAGTTCGGCGTACTTCAGACACATTGTCTTAACATCCTTGTCGGGCAGGCCGGATTCAATTGCCTGTTCGTATATTTCTCGAGTCTTTGGAACACCAAAAATTTCAGCAGCCCGTGCAATGTAAATTTCATACATCCCCAATTTCTCATTGGGTGGAACAGCTTTTGTCGCTTGATTATATACACGCATAGCTCGTTTCGCCAGACCATAGTCTTCCTCTAACTTAGCATACTGGAGATATAGAGGTTTCACAGCATCAGCTGGGGCCTGAAAATAAACGTTTATTGCAAAACAAAGTCAAAACCAATTGCAAAGTATAACAGTTAAAATGAAATTGTATACTGAAAATAATTATACTTGTTCTTCAACAGGTAGACCGAGAAGAAAGACAATTTCAAGTACACGCCCATTATTTAATGTAGTCACAGAAGACACAATATACACCAACCAATATGGGTGTAGAGAAACCTATATGTAGCCTGCATTTGCATGGAACAGTAAAAAAGGTCTCTAACTGATTTGGAGGTAAACATTGACAATTTCAACTGTCTTCTCAATTGAAAAGCTAACTGCCAATGACCCTTTTAAGCTTTATTAACTAATTAACAAAGAAATTGATTCCATGCACTAACCTGCTCATCCAGAGGTTTAAGACTGAATTGTGGAGTTTAAAATAACAATGCTAGCCTTGGTTAGGAGAGTCAAATAAGATCCTTGTCCAACAGAGGTCAATTTTTCACGAGTTTTTTATTCACTTTTGAATTGGCCATGGCTATTGAAGGATACAATAAGCGGTCAAGTGTTGGAATTTCTTGACTAAGCTTCTCATTCTCAAGGTTTAAGACTAAAATCCCGATTATACTACAATAATTTATTGTTTGTGCCTAACCACATGAGAATACCTATTAGGGCTTATTTTACACCTTTGAACAATAGGCCATTTAATGGTTCGGCATTTTTAAAAAATGCATTTCTACTTTTCTTAATCATTGTGCTCGTTCCAAGTCTTCTCCTCATAGCCATATTCAATTCAATATATTAATATTCTCAATGCAAGATAAAGCTTCAATATGCTTCAAATAATTGACAACCCAAAATACAATGTGAAAAGAAATAATTTTTTTTTTTTTTTTTTGATAAGTAATCAGAAGATTTTATTCATCATAGGATAATACAAGGGAAATGTATTATCAATTTAGACAACACATAACTGACATGAAATTGGGCAACCCATCTACATGATTAGGAGCTACAGTATTAAACCAACTAAACAAGGTTAGATAAAATAAATCTCTGACCTGTTCTTTTGT